CACACACACACACACACACACACACACACACACACACACACACACCAGTTAAAGGTATTTTGGAGAAACGTATAAGGCTGCTGCCCCCTGGTGGCTGCAGGAAAAAAATGCAAGAAAGGCCAAACTCAGCACCTCAAAAATGTTTTGTGCAAAAACAAAAATGCAGGAAAACAGAAACAGGAGCAGTCATGATGAATTTCATTTCCTGTTTAAGTTAAGAGATTTCCAGCAGTGATGATAAGTGATCCAACAGATTAACTTAAAATGAAAGGAATGTATTTGGTCAGTTTATTTATTTTCACAATAATTATTTATTTTTTCTTTTTGATGATTTTCTCAGTCACTTTATGCTTTCAGGCTTTTATACTGAAAGGATCCCATGGTTAGAATAACAGCACCTTGATTAAAAAAATATATCGTCTTTTAAGCGTGTGCTCTGCTCCCTCTCCTTCCTGTCTCCTCCCCTTCCTGACGCCTCCATCGGTGCAGGTAAACGGCCGCAGTACCTCCTCCGGGCCTGCAGAGGCAGACTCTCCCGGGGGGCGTGCGGCAGCGGTCAGCCCCGCTCAGAGGAGGCAGTATAACTCCCCCATCGGCCTGTACTCAGAGGAAACTCTTAGGGAGATGGCCGCGATGCAGGCGGGTCGGCCTGCGGGGTAGGTGGAGGCGTTAGAAGCCCGGCGACATGTTTGATGAGAGGTCAAGAAGCAGAAACAGATTCAAAGATGGTTCAAAGAGGAAGAAAAATACGTTTCCTGTTTGGTGCGGTACCAGTAACTGCTGTCTCCGGTGTCTCGGTTCATACAAAATAATTCACGTGGACCCATTCTGCTCATTTCTACATTTATAGTCCTGGATTCTCATTCAGCAGCTCTGCATGATTCAGAGTTTGAAATAATCCTTCTTTATCTGATACTGGGCTTCTGCTCAGCCTATAGGTCAAGCTTTTTTAGCTCCGCCCCCTTCAAGAGGACTTTTTATACTATAGGTTCATGTTAACCTTGCAGTAATCTCAGTAACCTTTGACCTTTGACTCCAAAGAGGAGAAACATGAGTGCATCTGAACCTTCAGTGTCATAAAAGTGAAACCAAATCAGTGATGCTGTCACGTGTCCTAAAAAAAACATGTTAAACTGCAGCTCCACCCATACACACACCACACTTACTCTAAAACTTACTAATGTTCTCAATGCGGACTTGATGTTTTCATACCCTGAAGGAGGTCCACCTCTCAGATTGTACTTGGCAAGTGTTTGCAGACAAGCTGGCGTCTCCCATGCAAACTGCAGGCCACTGCAACAATGTGCATTTGCAAATATGAACAGCTGACCTGGACGCGATGGAGCTCAGATACGTGCTGTGCAGCTAAGTTACAGCTAGCTGGCTAACCTTAGATTGCTGTGTAATGTTGTCTCTATGTAAATCATGAGTTAGGCCACCTCAGCGTTAGCCTTTGACCTTATGTGGAGTTTGTGTTGTGCTGCGATGTCAGTGACTGTTTCTAAGCTGGGAGCAGAAGAGCGTCACGTCACACGTTACTTTACAGAAAAAGGTGCAATGAGCCGGCCGATCCAAACACTTCTGCATCAGCTGCAGCTGCAGTGGAGGTGTGTGTTTACAGTCACGAACACGTATACAGTGACACACACACACACACACACACACACACACACACACACACACGCGCCATTAATAATGTGATTCAGTTACTCCGTCACCGAAGAGCCCAAACACCTGTTAGTTTGTTTGGCTGCTTTGAAAGGTCAGGGGACCCTCTGGACACACACACACACACACACACACACACACACACACACACACACACACACACACACACACACACACACATAATAATAATGATCCTGTTGTAATTATCATACCATATGCACATATGTCGCTGACTCTTCTTAGATGAAACTCACAAAGATTATTACCATTTATGTGTTTTTTCCGCACATGTTATATTAAGAAAAGGTAAACAGATAAATAACATTATGCATAATTATGTATCTGTGATGACAAGACAGAATAAGAGAAGACCAAAACAAAGAAACTTTAAAAAATGTCCAGAAGACACGTGACCCCAGCAAAGTCTGCCTCAGACTCCATCCCCTGAAGCTGGGATCTGTGGGATCTGTGGGATCTGTGAACAGGCTGTGATTAAATCTTCCTCTTCACTCGCAGAGCGGACGTCACAGCAGCCAACAGAGGATGTGACCTCTGACCTCTGATGGACAGTGAATGATGCTGAATATGTTTTCTAACATCATATTCTCCTCTGTCTTCCCTCCTTTGTCCTTCCACGTGTTCGTCCTCTCTTCTGTCCCTGCTGTTGGTCAAGCAAGGTTTTCCCCCCCGCCGCTCCACCGTTAGTATCCTCTGCAGCTGAATGCATCTTGGATGTGTGTTTGTTTAAGGCATGGCGTGGGGTGATGGCGAGTGCGGTCCTGCAGCTTTACAGACTCTATTTCAAAATTATCCATGCAAACTGAAATTGCGGAACAGCTGGCTGCATGATACATTTTGCTTTCTGTGGTTTTTTCATTATTTGGTGTTTTTCTGAGGCAACTCTACAGGAAAGTTTTCAGAATAAAAGCCTGCTAGAGTGTGAGAAGCTTCAGCCTTCAGGTTGTTTTTGTGCAGCAGTGAAGTGGACTAAATGTCAGCTGTGTTTCTGCTCTGATACGTTTGTGTTCTGGGATTAAAGGTCATGGTTTGACGCACTGCTTAAATGAGCTGCTGTGACGTTTTGCGGTGGACGCATGCGAATGTTTCAAGCATGAAATTTAAAGCATCGTCAGTCGTTTCTAACCAATGTGCAGAAACCAGTTTGGGTTTTGTTGAAGTGGAAATTTCCTTTTTCTCTGCAGCTGTAAAGACCATCGCTCATGTTGTATTTATTACCCACAAAAAAAGACCTAATTTTATAGGAGTGGTTTCAGCTTGTGTCCAGTGAGTCCTTTGGAAGTCCAACATTTGCAGAAAAAAGGGTTAAATTTAGTATTTTTATCAGCGTTTTGCAGCAACAAGCTTTGAGGTAGATTCATCTAATGGTTCAGCATCTGCAGTGTGGCACGAATTTATTAGACGGTCACCAGAGTTCATGTGACAGCTGCTTAATCCACCTGTATGCACGAGCTCTGTTATCAGTTAGATTAACTATATAATTATGTTTGTTATCTGTGGGTTTTAAATGTACTCAAAAAACAGAAAAAAATTATAGTTTTCTGCTTAAGATACAAAATTAGTCATTTACTCATTACTATTATTATTATTATTATCATTATTATTATTATTATGATGATTATTAATAATCATCATCATCATAATAATAATGATAATAATAATAATAATCTGCATGTCTGAACATGCAGATTATTATTATTATTATCATTATTATTATTATCATTATTATGATTATGAATATTATTATTATGATTATGATTATGATTATGATTAATATTAATAATCATAATCATAATCATAATAATAATAATAATCTGCATGTCTGAACATGCAGATTATTATTATTATTATATCATTATTATTAT